ACAAAACTGATTGGGAGAAAAAAAAATATAAAAAGTAATGTGAGCAAAAATCTCCAAATTGCTACAATTCCTCTCTCTCTTACTCACTCACTTTACTTAATTAAATAATCCTGATTAAAATGAGGGTGTGAAAGAAGCAATAAAAAAGTCAATATATAATAGAAGGGAAAAAAGTGAAGGTAATGGTTATAAATATAAGTTAAATTGTGGGCAATTGACAAGACAAGTTAGAAGTGTGATTAAAAAAAGTTTTTGACTATGGACTTAAGGGCAATAAGAATTATTTTTAAAAGAAATCAGAAAAAAATTCTAACAATAACACAAATTAATTAATAGTGATAATAAAACTAGCAGTGATGTAAAAGCTAATTATTTTTTACTTTGTGTAAAAAAGGATAATATGTGATATCAATTCATATTCAGCGTTGAAGCTTTTTTTTTTCCAGCAGTAGGTAAAGACGACATTAAAATCATCTGCAAAAACGGAATACTTTTGAAACGGCTAAACCAGATCATTTGTACCCATGAATTTTACAAGTAGTATCTGAGGAACACTCTGGACCAAGTTAAAAATTAATAAAGCTTAAAAAAATAGGGAAGTTCTAGGGGTCTGGGAGAAAAAAAACCCACTGTGCCAGTCCTAAGTAAAATAACGGAATAGCTGATATGGGATTCATTTAAAGATGAAACTATAATTAATACTAGTCAACATTGTTATATGGAAAATAGGTATTGTCAAATAAGCTTTATACCTTCTGAATACTTTATTTGATAATTTCATGCACTGATATAGTACACTTAAGATGTTTTTAAGGTGGGTGAATTAGTTGTACACATTCTGAGTAAAATACTAGTGCTGTCAATACAGCTATAAAATGGATTAAAAACAAGCAGATCTCAAAAATGTAATTAATGAGAGTGGGCATTTTTTATGAGATCTCAAAGGGATAAGTTCTTGGCCCAATACTATTAATTATTTTTAATTAATGATCTGATAGAAAATATAACATTACTGGTGATAAAGTTTGCATAGGACACGGGGATTGGTGAAGTAGTAACAAAATGAAGACAGGTCACCAAAATTAAAAAAAAACAATCCAGTAATAACAAAAAAACCACCCCAGTTACCTGATTCTGTAACGTATTCTTCGAGATGTGTTGCTCATGTCCATTCAACATAGGTATGTGTGCTCATCTCATGTACCAGTGCCAGAAGATTTTCCCTCACCAGTACCTGTAGGGAACCAGGTATATAAGTAACCCATGGGCTCCTCCCTCCACAGTTCCTTCTTGCCAGAACGCCACAGACAGGAAGGAGGGTGGAGAGTTGAATGGACACGAGCAACACAACTTGAAGAAAACCAGTTAAGGAACAGGTAAATGTCTTTACCTCTTCTTCGGGTGCTTGCTCATGTCCATTGATGACTTCAAGCAGTATTTGCAGAGGGAGGTAGGATTTTCAAGGACACGCAGACCACAACACAGCTCTATTGAATTCTGTGCCATCCCTAGCATGTTGCATTGTGGCATAATGGGACGTAAATGTGTGTACTGAAGACCACGTTGCTGCATGTCAAATGTCTTGAATTGGGATATTTGCTAGGAAGGCAGCTAAAGAGGCTTGGGCCCTGATAGAATGAGCTCTCACCAATGGGATGACTGAGCATCTGCTAACTTGTAACACATGTGAATGCAGGAGTGATCCACCTACAGATCCTCTATGAAGATACTGGAAGACCCTTCACCTGATCAGCATTAGCCACAAAGAGCTGCATGGACTTATGCAAGGGCTTTGTTCTCTTCAGACAGAAAGCGAGTGCCTTCCTGACATCCAAGGCATGAAGACATCGCTCATTTGTCTTATGAAGCATAGGATAGATAATGAAAATGAAAATGAAAATATCCTGACCAATGTGAAACATGGACACTATCTTGGGCAGGAAGGCTGAGTGAGGTCTAAGTTGCACTTTATCCTTGAAGAAGATATTGTACAGGTGCTCTGGACAGCAACGCATGAAGCTCCAACACCCTTCTTGCCATAAGAAAAGCTACCTTTAGCAAAGAAGTGAAAGGGGGCAAGTGAGTGGCTCAAATGGAGGACCAGTGAGCCTAGCCAGGACCAGATTAAGGTTTCACTTGGAAAGAGGTTCTGGGTCCTATAGGAATAAACCTTCTCGGCCCTTCAAAAATTGATCCGTAATTTCATGTGAGAACACTGAGCGACCTTGAATCGGTGGATGGAAAGTGAAGATGCAGCAAAATGCACTCTGATTGAAACTAATGCAAGATCTTTGTGCTTCAAGTATAAAAGATAATAAAGGATCTGCTGGAGCAGAGCATCAACAGAGGTGCCTCCTCTCTGCGCAGCATAGATAAAACGGGTCCACTTTACAGTGTGGGTAGACCAAGTTGAGGGTTTCCTACTTTCCAGAAACACTTGTTGCACCTTGGCTGAACAGGTCTGCTCCTGTAGGTTCAATCATAGAATAATCATGCTGTGAGGTGGTGCCGCAGTAGGCCTGGGTGGAGGAAGTGGCTGTGATCTTGGGACAAGAGATTCTGGGGAAATGGCAGTAGATGAGGGGCCTACTGAAGGAGGCTCATAAGTGTGCCAAACCAGTGCTGGTGCAACGAGTATTACCTTTGTGGAGTTCTGACTGATTTTCTGGAAGATCTTGCTGATCAACGGGAATGAGGGGAGGGGGAAAAATACATACATGAGACCGTCCTTCCAAGGGAGAAGAAAGGCATCCACAATGGAGCCCTCTTCCAGACCCAGCCTGGAGCCAAACCTGAGGCATTTTGCATTCTGTTTCATTGCGAACAGGTCTACTCAGAGAGAGCTCCACTCTCGGCAGAGCGTGAGCATCCACTCAAGATGTAAAGACTAC